AGTAATTTCTTTATGCTTTCCATTTTGGGGCATCTTTCTTTAAAAAAAACCCACACAACAAAACCAGATGCCGCTCTATGTGCATAGGAGAAATCAATGGATGGGATCAATATTCCCTCCACAGGTAATAAATGCTGAGAAGCATTTCTGTCTATCTAAATTGATCCTAGAGAATTCTTTAAATTGGTTCTGATGTGTATAAAAATCATTTCCCTATTGATCAAAGCTTTTCTTTCTTGCTTGCTTTGATATGTTATTTCATCTCCGCCATCAGTCTCCGACTTTTCTATGCAGTTATGATAAACAGAATTTCTTAAACCCATGCAAGATTATAATTTCAGTGAAACAAGAAATAACTGGGTTTGTGTCTTTGAAGATGAATGCTTTGCTTACAGTTAGGCAGTGCAAGTATTTTTAAATTGGGAAAGTTACTACATCTGAATTATTTATAAGAAAGTCTAAAGCAACTGCCGTACTTTTATTAGATGCAATTGTCCAAATCCAGCACCTCGACTAGTCCATTCGCTCTGGGAGTAAGAGCTGCTGGAACGGTGAGGAGAGTTTTCGATCTCCCACTGTCCTTGTTTTGCTCTATATCTGAGCAAAAGAGTAAATGTTAGCTGCTGAGTCTATGGAAAAAAGTTATTCTGAGATAGCAAACAGTGCTACTTATCACTATGGATTGTCTCAGCCTAATACGCTACAGTAAGTTGCGGAGTTCGTGACTTTTGTTACAATACCATTTTATTAACATTTAAGCTGCTAGACTGCTCTAGAAACATTAAGTACTTTTCTGCTAAAACAGGAGTTTTTCAGAGTATTTGATAACTGAGCGTTACATAATTTGTAAATTAATTTACCTGAAGAAAAGTTTCACGCTTCAACACATCTGCTAAGGGGGTGGTGGTGGTGCTTTGTGTGGACACAGCGGTGTGTGTAGGTAGCAGCCTGCCACGTGAGCGGGATCCGTCTGTTGGAGCGCTTGCTCTGAAGAGGGCTGTTTCCAACTGTTTGAGAAATCAGGTGCTTGACAGCCTTTACGGTTGTGACTTGTCTTAAGATGAAAACTTACGGCTTTGTCCAACATAATTTATTGACTGTCAGAGCCTAATACCAGTAAACTGGTCTGCTCTTTAGGCTTCCCCAGTCCAAAGGTGTCACTGTTTCCAGCTGTTTGAACACATAAACCAGTAAAGCAGTACTTAATCTGGTCTTGGCAAGGTTTCACTCAAAATTCACTTTATAAAGAAGACGGTAATCATGGCTGTGATTTCTGTTAGTCTCTTATGGAATATAAATTGTCAAACTGTCTTTTGACAAGTACAGGTTTTGTTCCCTCTACCCCAAGTAATTTGGTTCCATCAACCCAGCAAATTAATCTTGTCTAGTTTTTTCTTCTGTAGAAATGCAGTAACAAATTAAATTGCTTCAATATACCAGCACTATTTTAAATTTATCCACTACTTCAAATTAGCAGATGGATTTCACATTGTATTCACATGAGTGGCTTCGGTTTTGTTAGCATTTACATAGCAGTATAAATATGCAAAGTTCCTGGCAGCTGAGAAACAGCATGTTGTTTACTTATATGTAACACAACTGAGTTTCACTGAATGCAATAACTTTGATTTTAACCTCACATGTTTAGGTCAGTGTGGAGACTCCAGTAAAACAACAACTT